AACCTAGACGTTGATGCTCATGTAGGGGAAGCTGACCGTCCAGCCCAGGAAGAAAACAGATGGAAGTTACCGTGGGGCAGCACTCCAGTGGAGGACTAGATAACTGCGAAGGGACAGCTGACCTCCCCCCCCCCCCCCCCCCCCCACTGACTTCTGGGCAGAAATTCAATCCAACAGGAACCCCTCTGAGACACGGCACACATAAGGAATCTGATCTAACAGGTTTGGACTGGAGACACCAACAACAGCCCTCGCATTAGCATTGGCTCTGGAACACCTCTCAAGGGAGCAACCGATACAGCGCCCATCCCAGAGAGAATCTCCTTTATTTTCGTTTTTCATTCTTTGCTCTTTCGTAACCACATTTTTGAAAGCTTCTGTAAGGCTTAAGTTCTGATGGCTTGCTTTCCGTGCCTCTTCGATTGTTCCCTCTCGACTATTTCTTACCTAAAACCCATATCGTTTCCCTCTCATACCCACCTGGTACTCTTTCACATTAACCCCACAAATAAGAGGAGCAAGACCACCGACCCAAATCATGGCCAAATTAATTAAAGCAAGCTTTATTCGTGTGCACAGGCTGTCTCCTCCTAGGGGGTTCAAGAGATCAGCACCGATGTGGGGAAGATAAGTTTTTTACAGCTCAGGAGTAAGCCAGTTCCAAACGCTGGATTTGGCAGGCAAATAAGCGTGGGAGAATGGGGGACAGGACACATGGGTCACAGAAGCAGAACATAAGCATAACACGTTGGTCATGACAACCTTCTGAAACTAAGGCATGGTTGCAAGGCAGTGAGAACAAGGTATAACTTAAAGTAAGAGCTGTGGAAGCTGTGAAAGGGAGAGACACCAATAATGACATCATGGCGAATTCAATAACTTCTCATCAGTGAGCCAGGAAAGGGAAAGCCAAGAAAACAGGAGAAAGCGAGCATTAAGGGCAAGAAGGAGGAGGGTTTCAAAACATGCCCAGTACATGGTCACGTCATCTGTGTTTAACATATGCACGTTGCATGGACACATATCTGCACGGAATGTGGCCCAAGACCTTTAGAGGGTATCTGAAGTCATGGGCAGACCAAACCCTGTACAAACATGTTTACATGTGCTTATATACATATATGTAGCTTATATATTAAACACAGTAAGGACTAAATGGAATCATCCCAACACTATAATACAATACAATTACATGTACCAGTACTCTTACCCTTTGAGTACATTATTAATTAAATAAGGGTTACTTGGTCACAAGCACTGTAATACTGTGACAGTCTGATAATCAAGAAGGCCATTAATTCATTATTAGGCAGGTAGCATATACAGTGTGGACCCACAGTACAAAATACAAGTCATATCCCAAGCCAGATTCTTAAGGAAGCATAGGATTCCATCAGGAGACTGAGAACAGCACACAACTTATGATTCTGCTTTCTAATTTTTTTTTCCTCTGCTGTGTTCAGGTTGTAGTTATCCACAGGTAACAGAAGCCGTGGAAATCAAAACTGAGGATGAGGTGGTATTTTTGCAGTCAAAATAATAACTACACACACATCAGCATTCCACAGAGAAGCCTGAATGATGTTTCCCGCTACCAAAAGGGACCGGTTACTCTCCTGCATCATCATCAAAGATGTGTGCACCAGAAGCAGAGGATTCCTGTGCGCATGAAGTTTGAGCATGTGCTTTCTGAGTGGCACTCTCCTGCTTTGTCCTGGCTTCACTCTTCACATTTCCTAGCTCATTTTCTTTTGAAAAAAAATAGCTCAAGTGTTCTATATATAATGTGATAAAACTTGTAGTAAGCCAAGAAACAAATGATATAAAGTGAGTGTGGAGTTGGGGGAGGATTCCAGCTATTTTAAGAAGCACTTTCTCCAAGAGAACCATTCAGGTCCATCCTAAATTAAAGAGATGGGAGAAAGGAAGTGGAGAGGGGAGACAGAAATTGACGAACACATCATCAGTTTATTTCCTGGAGCTGTACTGTAATGGTTCCTTATTAGTCTTAGCGTCTCTTGTTTGCTTGCTTTACTCTTGCTAAGCTTGCTGGCTTTTCCACACTATCTAATTTGTTTACCAAGACAGATGCCATTGTGATGTTTAAACTGTTTGCTACTTCAATTCCCACTAAATAAGCCGGTTCCCTGACTCCGTTTTCCAAGGAGGAAAATGCTACCATTAAGACTGAGCTGTTCTCCACTGTAGACTGGACAATTATGGCGGCAGTTGGCATGTTGAAGTTTCAGGTGGGCAGTGGCGTTCCCTCTTTGGCAGGCAAGGTCACCGTGATTACAGCACTTTATCATCCCGAATCTTGCTGTCTCATTTGGGGGTCCAGATGGCTGATCCAGAGGTAACTACACGAGCCAAGTTTGGTCAGTCCGATGTCCTGACACTGGAATAAGACTCCTGGGGAGAAGACCTGCTCAGATGATGACAGTGAGCTGTTCCCTGCAGTTGGCCACTGTGCGAGCTCTGTCAGCTGTGGCTGCCCTGGGCTCCGGGCCTCTCTGGTCCAGCGTGTTCTTTCCATTTGCATTTTGAGAATCTCCTTTGATTCTCGTCACTAGCCAGGGCTTGGTTTTTGTTTTTTTGTTTTAATTATCTTGAGTGTATTTCTTACAAAACAAAAGCCTGAGGTCTACCACTCTGATCCTGGATAAAGGACTTACTTTTTTAGTGAATGTCCCAGAATGTGTAACTTTAGAGAGTTTTGTTATGCTAAGAATGCTTTGCCATAGAAGCCCAGTCTGACCTCTGTCCTTTGACTTAGGACAGTCTGCCTTCATCACTCCTTCCTTCCACTTCGATTCATTTATTTCTCTCCATATTGTCAATGGTGGTGGCATTAAGATTCACTTCAAAGTATTTTTTGGTTCTTTACAGTGTAGTTTCTTTCTTTTCTTTTTGTTTTTGTATTTTAGCATTTTAGTGCCTCAACTCATATATTACCTGTACACTGGATGATAGAGAGGAGCTGGTCTTGTCCAAAACTAACCAGTGGAAATGGAATGAGACCATAGTCAGTTTTAAATTTTTCAGGAATTACATGTTTAAAAAAATAAAAAGGAATAGGTAAGCTAAATTTCCAATAATGTGTTTTATTTAATGTAATGCATTTAAAATAATATTTCTACATATAATCAATATGCAACTATTAATGAAATATTTTACAGTTTTATACACCAAGTGTTTGAAATCCAATCTTTACACAACAGTCAGCTGTACGTTTCCACCACAAATGTTTTGCCCCGTGCTGGTCACAGTAATGAGAGCCTGCCCGTAATGCCAGGGCTTTGGAAACAAAAACCGGAGGCAGGAAGCTCAAGGCCAGCCTGAGGTACAAAGTGAATTCATGTGCTACATGTGAGGCTCTGTCTCAAAACCTCAGAGAGGGGGACAAGGGACGGAAGTGGACCGACAGGCAGAAACATGAAGAGAGACACAGAGAAAATAGTGGCCCGTGTACAGACTTTACAAATTTAACAGTTGAAACGGTAGAACTAAGGTGCTGAAATACTTCATTGTTTCTAATAAATGTATTGGGAAACAGGTTTTTAGTTAAGTTGACTAAAATTAAGCATAATTAAAATTCACTCGATTTACAAACTCGCTTCACAGGTCTGGTGGAGACTTTGTCGTCCCCCCCCCTCCCCCGTCCCCCAGCAGGCTGCAGTCCCCAGGCATGTGGTCATGTGTGAGCCAGGATGCTGAATGTGCTCACTGCATCAGCCTCCTTCTCTCGGGCATCAATGTCCAGGGCTGTCTTCACTTCAGTGACGAACACTTTAGTCCAATGCTGTTGCTTCACAGGCTTGGTCCAACTTTGTGACTGTTTAAGGACAGAGGACAAATCTTGTCATTCTGTCGGTTGCTGTAGATTGAGTAAATGCTTGCCTACTGTACATGAGAGACTTTGAAGTGCCCTGGAAAGAGACGATTAAAAACATAGTTTCACCCCTCACCCTATCACAGTGCAGCAGGGGAAAGCACTCACGTTAAGTGTGTGACAGAGAGCATAAAAAAGGCATGAAAGGAAGTAGGGTACTACAAAGCAGGTGTAGAGTGGGAAGATCTAATTTAGTCTGGAAATTTAAAAAACAAAAGTTTCCCAAGATGGAATATTTCAGCCAGAATTTAAAGAATGAGGAGAATTTGGTATGTGTGTTGTGTAGGGCAGGAAGAATGCCCAAAGAAAGGGCAAGTGCCAAGCACCTGCGGCAGAATGGGACCACCGGGGATCATCCAGCCCAGCACTTAGATTTCCAAAGCCAGAAGAAGGGCTCAGAGACCGCTATGCCAGTGTAGAGCCGGCACTGAAACCCATGACCCCCACTTCAAGCCTGGCACTATTCCCGGTCCACAGCGGTGCTCGGATGAGTGCAGAGAACACCACGACATCTTGCATCATGGTATTTGTCATTTTACAGGCTGTGAGATGGCATGCAAGGTGCCTAATTTTAAAATTTTATTTTTATTTAAAGATAATTATGGGCAAAATTTTATTCAAGATATGTGCTTAATTGCCAGTCTTTTAATATATTTACAAAGTGCATGCTGCAAAGTGTTTGGTGTTTTGTTTTGTTTCCTTTTTGTTAGAGTGCAAGAGAGCATGCCACAGATGAGAATGAACACTCCTGTGAAGACGAAACAGCGCCATAATGGCCTGCCTGTGTTCACTCAGCTTCCTAAGTGGCTGAATCACACCCAGGAGAGTCCTGCTCAGCAGGCTAAACTGTTAGCGCTTTTCAGACATTTGGGGAGATGCATGCATTGCCCCACTCAGGCATAATAAATGTCAATTAAAGTTCCCTGAAGATTTTCAACCGTGAAACTCAATTGAAACTATGTATACATAGACTCACTGAAGACTTCTCTTCAAATCTGTTCTAGAAGTGTATTTACATTTACCATGGCTGACCTGGCTGCACACAGCAGCCTTATATTTGCATAGACATTTCTCCCAGTTGCCCTAGGTATCCCTCAAGGATGACTTATAAGCTGGAATATGTATTTAATGTCAATAGAATCAGTGTCCTTTCAATACATATATACAAAGAATCATCTATGTGCCAGAACTAGAAATACAGCAGTAAATACAGCAGGGAGCCCCTACTCCATCAGTCTGGAAGGGTCTTCTACGACGCTACCAGACCCTTTCCGTTCCTGACCATGTCTACGCATGACTCAACTATTACAGAAAAGACAATAACACATAGAACAGGTCTCTGCCAACGTCTAAGCTTTGCAAAAACATTCATGTCTCATGGGTAGTTCGAGAACTTCAGTGTCAGATGTTTCCATTTTCCCTTAAGTAGCCCAAGCCGCCAGCTGCTTGAAGTCATCGTCCTCCTCTGCCCTCCTGGATGATGCTGGAACACAAGAGTGAGGAAGATCAGCCATTAGTGGCATTTACACTTCCAGCATAGAAAACGGGTAGGAATTACATACAAGATGTGTTTACTCATACAAATCATGTAGGAGTGATTTGTACCGGAAGCACCAGGGCTGGCTACTGTTTGGAGGACATGTGTGGACAGACGCAGGGCATGGGGTGAGTAACAGACCTGCTCGAGATCGGTGTACAGTGGAGGGCTTGCTGGACTTCCTACTGGGTTGTGCCGGGAGGGAAGAGGAAGGCACGTTTGGAAGCTCCATGTTTTTCATCTTCTTATTTAATTCTTCCTGCTCCAGTTCCTCAAGTTCTGCCAGTAGCTCATCCTGAACACAGGATAGAGAAAGAATTACGGAGTTAATGTTTCAGGAGGTGGGGTTCCCTAAATACAACAAGGAGAACATCTGTTACCCAATTGATATGTGGGAACCCACTGAAACGGAATATTTATTTTAAAACTAAGCTTTTTTTTTTTTTTTTTTTTTTGCAACACTGAGCAATGATTAGAAATGAATATTTTGGGCTGTACAAATTTGTTGTAGTTAATCTTATAATACTCCAGTAAACAGCCATTCAAGTAATTTGTGCTGAATATATAATCTCCTCAGGTTCTGGAAATTTACACCTTGGCTGTCATTGTTCTGGTATGTTCTTTTTTTCCTCTCCTGTTGAGAATCCCTGCGATTTTAATTAGAGGAAATAAATATTTTTGAGTTAATGCTCTTGAAAATAAAACAAGCATAGAAGAATATATTAAATAGAAAGTATAAAAAAAAGATACCGTAGTTCCTAAATCAAACAATTAAAGTCAATATAAATTGTGTTTAGGGGATTTCGTTGACGTTCGTGCTGGGGACAGAACACAGCAGTACCTTGTTCGTGCTAGGCAAAGGCTCTACCACTGAATTATGGTCTCCGGCCCATGTGTTTGTGTTAGTAAGATTTGAAGTTAGTATAATGTATTTTTCCTTTACAGTGACCTCAGAAAGTCTGGCTTAATCATACCATTCTCCACTCAATACCTATAGACAGCTCCCATCAGCCTGAGACCTTAAGAACGTGAGTCACCTCTTGCCTGTTCTGAGCTAGCTCATAGCTACCTACCTTGGGAATCCCTACAGAAGTGAGTGGTAGTCAAAACAAAACTTTTCGTTATACTTCCAAGGCTGTCATAATGAGAAATTGTTTGATTACCTAAGTCAGCCATAGAGAGACAGAAGGTGGAGAGGTTTGGTCTGACCTAGGGCAGCACCATGTTTCTTCACAGCAAAGGGACATCTTGTCACCCATGTTTGTAAATGGGCAAAATGCCTACAGAATGGGATGTAGCCCCTTACAGGGGCAGAATGATTGCCACACGTACATTCTATTCCCTCCTGCCTTCCACAAGGGGAGCTGAGAAATATAGTCTTCCAGCAGGAAACTATCAGAAACGATCTAGCATAACTGTGTATCCATCCAGTTAGAGTCTATTTATTCACCCATCATTCAACAAATTTATTGAGATCTCATTACTGCGCAGTGCAAGGATAAATCAGTACGCCCTACATTCAGGGAGCATATGCCTGAATGTATGCACACGCACGTGTATCTTATATTTCATTGTTTTGTTGCCATTGTTTGTTTTGAGACAAGGCCTCTCTGTGTATCTCAGGCTGGCTTTGAATTCTCTATGTGGCCCAAGGTTGACCTTGAACTCACAATCATCATGCTCTTCTACATAAGACCAGACAGTAGTATTTTGGGCTTTGCAGGCCAGATACCTTCCTGTTGCAGGCTCTTCTTCCTAATATTCTACAGTTCTGGGAAGTGGAAACCATGCTTGCCTTGAGTGCTACACAAGAATAGGCCATGACTGATCTGTGTATCAGTGTTTTCCCTGCATGTCTGTATGTGTACCACATTCATGTCTGGTGCCCATGGAGGTCAGAAGAGGGCATCAGATCCCACAGAAGTGGCAATATGGATGATTTTGATCCACGCTGTGAATGGTGGGAACAGAACCCAGGTCTTCTGCAAAGGCAACAAACACTCTTAACCTCTGCAATCTCTCCAGTCCTGGCCCCATATCATTTTTGAACATTGCTAACAGCAGACTGTCATTTCCTAAGACTCTCGGGGCCACATCTTCCCTTGTTACTCATCATCTGTCATATCATATAGAAAGAGGAAGCTGTGCTATTCGGTCCCTCTGGAGTGCGCCTAAGAATGTCCTCATCCTGGACATGTGTAACTCAAATGGAACCACTGAACTGTTCATTGTGGACATCACCAACGTAACTACAGTCTTCCTGGACTATGGGGCTGATTAATATGAATGGAATGGGAGTGTAAATAATGCCCCTCCACAATTACTTGTTTTACAGACTGAGTAATAAACAGAGGCAGCCTAACTCCTAATTTAACAGCCACAGAGCACAATCCATCTGCTGCCTACAGAGTGACGCCGTCTGTTCTATTTGGCCAGATGTGAGAGCACATGATCCCTCATAATGGGACTATTTATACTCCAACCATTAAAAATCACTAACTTCACATAACCGCGTGCTGTTTTCTTTTTCCTTAATAGCTAAAAACCTAATTAAGAAGCTGTTTGCCAAACTATAGTCATCTTTCCTTGAAATCAGCTACAAACACCTCATTTCCCTCCTGGAAAACAACACTTCCAATAAATATCATTTATTTGTTAAGCAATAAACCAGTTGGCTGCTCTATGTGCTCTATGTGATAGGAAGCTGCCCTCGACAGCGGCCACAGAACCAGATTCTTAGTGTTGCACCTACCTCGTCAAAGCCATCGGCAAACTGAACCCTTTGAGAAAACGCTTCTGAGATCTCTTGGGCAATGTCCTGCTGCTCCGTGATATCTTGCATCAAGTCATCGATTTTGTTCAGGTCCCTGGGGAGCATTTTGTAGGGATTTTAGAATTTTACCTTACAATTATGAATCTAGACTTAATTCTATTTGAACACAAGTTAATTTCAGATGTACTGTTTAGTTATTTCAGCACCATAACAAAAATTCCTGGTCCAATGTTCATCAATTAAAAAAAGAAAAAGCTGGGCGGTGGTGGCACACACCTTAAATCCCAGCACTTGGGAGGCAGAGGCAGGTGGATCTCTGTGAGTTCGAGGCCAGCCTGGTCTACAGAGTGAGTTTCAAGAAAGCTACACAGAAAAAAACCCTGTCTTGAAAAACAAAAACAAAAACATCGGCATGTCAAAAAAAATGTAGTAACCCTGTACAATCACCTGTATTTTCAATATTACCTTCCACCTTCGAGAAACACTTGAAATAAAATAACTGTGTGATTTGGGAAGTGCGTGTGGTAGCCCACGTGGTACCCCCGTGTGTATTGTCCCTCTGTTCACTGAGGACCACCATGACTAAGAGAGCAGACAGAGCAGCTCTGGCAGCCAATCCTGAAGTACCTCGGGAGAGAAACTAAGCTTTGGGCCTGGAGAACCAAAGTCTATAGCGTAGTAGCTCTGAAATTCAGACTCCTCGAGGGTTTTCCCTTATAGATAATGTGGGGGGGGGGGAGTAGAGGGGGTTTGCTAAAGACAGCAGGATTTGACCCGGCATGCCCGCACAGAAGCTACATCCTCAGCAGATGAAGGCAGGTGGGGCCGGGCTCCGGACAGCGGCTGCATCCTTAGCCTCTGGGGTCTACCGGTTCTATCTTGTTTCTGTAACAGTTTCTAAAGCATTCCTCCAACTCAGAATCCAGGCCAAGCTGACTACACAGCAGAGAGGTGACAGTGGCCTTCATTGTTAAGGACTCTCAGCACTGAAAGTGTGAGCCCAGTGGAACTCATCTCTTTTTTTTTCTTCAGTTGCTCAGACTCTACTACTAAAAAAACTGGGAACTTCAACATATTTCCATATGTAATCCAAAATCTTCTTATCATTTGCCTACTATCCTTTATGCTCAATCCTAATCAGAGCTGTAGTAAATGTATTTATTTAAAGGAGTACAAGACATGTAATACCAAAGTTTGGGGCTGAGACTGAGCTTCTCTCCAAGGAGCACTCTTGTCTCATGCTCCTAAGAGACCCGGAGACAGAGCTGGCTTTGCAGTCTACTCCAGCACTCGGCTTTCCACAGCTGAGGGAACCACGAGTCCAATCGTGCACATAATGATCTCTGAAGTGTCGGGATGGCAGCTGGTTGATGAGTTACCAAGGCAAGAGGATGGTCTCAGGGAGGTCTTCATAACGTCCCGACCGCTACCTTTGCCTCTTCCCCTCCTCTGGAACGGAGTCTGTACCGCTCAGCACTTACTGCTCCTTGGCCAGAAGACTACTCTCACATCCCCAATCAGCCAAGAGCCAGGTCCCAGGTCTGCATTCCCCACAGTGACCATTGGTCTGTGTTCGCATCTCAGAGCATTGGCTGCTGAGTGCTCGCTTTGGAACAGGACCTGTGCTGGGTATAGCTAGCATCTCACTGAGTTTCACAACAACCAGAGGAAGTAAGAAGAACTTACAGGTGAGGGAACTGGGTCAGGGAGCGAAAGTCATTTGCCAGGGTATACTCAACTTTGGAAATGGGATTACAACCAGAAAACTATAAACTCTGGCCCTAGGGATTAACACTTTATGTCAGCGATTTTCAAATATTAGATAGTCTCAATCTCAGCCTGGGAATTTGGTTAAAACAAAAGGTCCAATCTCTGTCTTAGTTCAAGGAGCCTGGGTATCAGAATGCTCTTGACCAGCTTTTATCTAGATGATTCTCACCCACACTACTGTTCTACAGTTCTAACACCTTCACTGATGTTGGCACTGTTAGAATCACAGAATTACGGCCTTTACAGATGGGATTTCACAAAGAAACTGAGGAATATTGAAAGCAACATTCTATACTTTTTTCCTTCAATTTTTTTTTTTTAAATTTGTTACTGTAAATTCAAAACTACCTCTGAGAGAGCATTTCATTCAATCTGTTGAACAGTGATCCAATCCTATCAAAATTGTCATACAGTTTCACAGGCTCTTCCCAACGTTAAGGACAAGGAGTGTGGGTCACTCACATGTTTTCATGAACGGCTTTCATTGCCTTGGCTGCGAAGCCCATGTTCCGTAAGACCTCAGTGTTGGTGTGTGAGTTCTCTAGAGCTTCTCGCTGGAACTCAATGGTGGAAATCGTGCCGTCAATCTGTGTGAGCTGCTTCTCAAGTCTCTTCTTCCTTTTCAATGCCTGCAAGGCAGCTAAATAAGGAAGAAACCGGTGTTTGCATCAGAAGAAACAACTACGCTTACTTAAGATGCTCAGACCACGCATGGACTCAAAATTGCTGAAACCTGAAGACAGAGTGCACATTAAAGAGCCCTGAGACACTTACAGGGAACATTTGTCGCTCCGTCTCTATACCAGCTGTTCTCTTTCAAACACTGTTATTTTTTCTTCCTACGATCTGGCAAGTGTAAGAGGATGGAAAGTCAACATTCATCATCACAAAATACGCCACAAAAATAGTTGTGCTAATTCTGGATGGGGTACAGGTCAAATATATTAAGAAAAGCCATACCAAAAATTATCAATCTTTACAAGAGGAAAGGACCTTAATGGCTGTCAAATCTAGCCTCATTTTCTCGAAGGCAAATTTACTAAGACTCCAAGAAATGCAGTGGCTTGCTAACGGCAGCCAGCCTGTCAAAACCTAAGGCTGAACACCTTGATCTGAAGTGAGATGGCCCTTAAGGTTGCATGTAACATGAGTGTCCTGAAATCAACGCAGCTGGAGTGCTGCTCAAGAGTCAGATAGCACTCTGCTGAGAGGGTAGAGCACTGCTTCTGAGAAACAAGATCTGAATAGCCCTCCCCTGCCCAACCCCCAACCCCCCCTCCGGGGGGGGGGGGGCTTTACCTGCTTCACCTGGAAGCCACAAAACCATGAGGGTTCTTTTGACTGTGGCACCCTGTGAGATACCCTCTCAAAGGGCTCAAAACATCCAGTTTGGCAAGACATTTGGGGAAAATCCAAGAAGAGAACAGTAGAAGTATGCTATAATATGTGCAACACGTAATATGCAGATAAATGATAACTAAGCCGATTTGACAAAAGAAGTCTGTGGTGATATTTTTGTTTGTGATCTAACAAATAAAGCTTACCTGAAGATTGGAGTACAGAGCCAGGCCACTAGTTAGCCATAGAAGCCAGGCAGTGGTGGCACACACCTTTAATCTGAGCACTCGGGAGGCAGAGGCAGATGGGTCTCTGTGAGTTCAAGGCCACCCTAAGCTACACAAGATTGATCCAGTCTAAAAGAGAAACAGAGCCAGGCAATGGTGGCACACATCTTTAATCCCAGCACTTGGGATCTCGTGCCTTTAATGCCAGCACGAGGGAGGAGGAAACGGGAAGTGATATGGCTGGGCAGAGAGAGGAATAGAAGGCTGGAGGAGACAGGAGCTCAGTGCCCTTTCAGGCTGAGGGTTCAGTAGAGGTAAGAAGTCTTTTAGTTTTCACCCTGATATCTGACTCCAGATCTTTATTATTAAGACCAATGAGGATTCAGGCAACAGAAGTCAAGCAGTTTGTGGATTTAGAAGGAAGCAGGAATGTTATCACAACAAATCTCTGAGAAGAAAACCTCCCAAGTCTGCTCCAGTCAATCTGTTTTTGTAGATCCAATGGCTTCAGTTATTTATTCCAATAATTTTTCACTGTCATTTCAAGGACTCTCACTCAGCCATGACCTCTTGGTGGTTTTTACTAGTGATTGATGTAGCTCTGTTCCTTCCTGGCTGCCTGAGGGGCAGCCACCATCATGAATGACCCAGTAACCGCCCAAAGCGAGGACCTGGGAGAAAACAAAGGCTTACTTAACTGAAATCCTCCACCCTGAGAAGGCCACAGAATGGAAGGCAGAAAGCCAAGAAGACGATAGAGGTGTACACACACACACACCATGCCATCTTTATATCTGAATTCAGAGTCCACCTTAGTAGCAGCAAGGTGACTGGCTTTGATATGGTTTGTGATTCCTCAGACAGTACAAAGAAAAATTAACAAAAATGCCAACTAGTAAGCTGTGGCATAGTAGGAGAAGGAAGAGGTCGAGCAGACAGTGAAAGGAATATAAGAACCAAATGAAGACACTCAGTACTGCAGAAGCCAGCATCCATGCTGGTAAAATACAGAAGAGATTGTCATTGACTTTAGTGAAAGATTAATAAACTGCAAAAACTTCTCGAAAACCCATATAAAAAATACCCCATCTCATTTTATCTCTTTTACTTTAAATTCCATTTTACTTTATTTTAAATTAGTATATTGGCCTTTTCAAAAATTATAATCTGCCACAATAACTTTCACGTGACTCTCTATTTCAAACATGGTTTGTTAGCTTATTTGGTTATTTTTGAGACAAAATTTCTTCATGTAGCCCAGGCTGGACTCAATAATAGACAGCTTATTCAATAGTCACTATTTAATACATATTTTAGCCTCATTTGTTGTAATAACTTTTGGATTATCTGATATGATATTCTATGCATTTTCTGCTTATTATACTCTTTGTCCTCTTTATTTCCTTTATGTGAAATTATAAATATCTTTGTTCATTTTTTACTTTGATTACTTGTATATAAAAAATTTATTTCTCTGATGGATTATACTTGTATTTACATTTAATGTATTTGTGGACTTCTATAACCCTGTCGAAAATTAATTAATATCTGTATGTTATTGTTTGGAAATTAGACTCTCTTGTCATCACAGTCTACAATATCTAATTACAATAATTAAAAGTTTTACTTCTATAATCCCATCATTTCAGAGGCTGAGGCAAGAGGGTCACAAATTTGAGGAAGCCTGGAGCATCATAGTCAGTTTTAAGATAAGATGCTCCTGTTCATTAAAATACATTATTACAAACAACAATCAGCAGTATTGTTAGTTGATGGTTATTAATCTTTTTATCCCTTCAATTTTAAAAGACTTATTAATACTTGTATTAAATATCACAGCTCCAGATATTTACACTAAGTTATAGTGTTTACTGTCTCTTATTTTCTTATTATTGCTCCCTGTATTCCACATCATTCTCATTCTTAGATTTAAAAGATTTTTCTGGAGTGAGTCTTCTTTTGTTCAGGAAAGTATTTTCACACACACACACACACACCCCTAATATATGTAAACTTATAAAGATGGATACATAAAAATTCTCTGAATACCTACATGTCTAAAATGTCTTCACTTTACTTAAAAGTTAAATGTTAAAGTTTTAAAGACTCGTTCATTAAAACTATTTCAAGAATTTTAATATACTATTCCACTGTCTCTGGGTAACATTCCAAAAGCTCGTTTTAACATTTTTCTAATATTCTTCTGAAAATAGTTAATATTTTATTTTTACCTAGAAGCTATGAGAGTTTGCCAGTATATGAATAGGCATTGCCTTTCTTTTTTTAACTAACCATAGGCATTACCTTTTTCTAAAAACTAACCACCTAGTGGGTACTCCCCTGCTGTGGGATGTTCTGTATGTCCTGTGGGAGCCCTTCTTGGGTTCT